ACTATCTCTTTAAATATCATTTGATGACATATTAAAAGGCCTAATACTAAGTAATTGTCATTATATTTGCTGCTATTATTCAAAGCACTAGGTTTTACATATCATTTCAATTTAAAATCCAATAAAAATGTATTATTATTTATTATTTTAGATATTTTATACATACAGATCAGAATAAATATTTTGGTATACTTTTAACATACAAATATTATGTTGAATATGATATTTTAATGAATTGTTTGCAATGGTTGTTGGAAACACTGATGTAGACACTTTACTTGCATTAAACATGCCTTTTGTTATATAAAATCACTTTTGTAAATATAAACATTGGACATTTCTTATTTAACCTGTGCACATATATTAAAGGGAGAGCACACCCAAAATATAAATATTGTTCCAAACCTATTATGCATTCATTTGAGAAGAAGTGCTTTATATCTGTTTTTCCCAGTCCAATGTTTAAACTCCGGGGTTTCTTATGATATTTTTTTTAAAGAAAAACTAAGAAACTAAGAAAAAAAAAACATTTGGAATAAATCAACACACACTTAATTTTAAAATGAACAATTACTTAAATATATGTTTATTTATTTATTTATTTATTTTTTTTACCCATTTTGCCTCTTAAATGTGCTCTATTGCCTTTATTTTCCTAGTCTGCTCTTCTCAGAGAGACTTACACAGTTTCACAGTTGTAATATTTTGCACTGCCTTTGTTAACCGTATCCCATGCACTCTGAACCTTTTCTTTATTTATTATTTATTGCACTTCTTTATATTTATTTATTTCCTACATTATTCAACTGTAACAGCAACGACCTTTTGAAAGGAAAGGAAACTAACCTCATTATACCTTTTCAGTGACAATAAGAAGGTTGACATAGATCTGTCAGTCTATCTATACAGTATACAGTAAAAACGCAAAGTTATACACTATACTAAAATATATGACCAATCAAAATTGTGTGAAAATAGTGTGTAATTAAATACAAAATAACTAGTTACTGTAATGAATTTATTTTTCAGCTAAAAATTAAAGTAAGGAATCACTTTTAATTTGTAGGTATTTTATTTACAGTTACTGATTATGTACTTGCTTAAATATGGTGCATAAATTTACAGGTGTATATAAATTAATTCAGAGAAGCTTGTTATATATTAGTTATATATAGTTGAGGGCTAAATTATTAGCCCTTCTGTGCAATATGTATTCTTTTTCAAATATTTCTAAGTGATATTTAACAATCTTTCCTATAATTTTTTTTCCTCAGGAAATAATGTCTTGTTTGTTTTATTTCGGCTGGAATAAAAGCAGTTTTTACTGTTTAAAAATCATATTATCAATATTATCAGCGCCCTTAAGCAATATTTGTTTTCAATATTATTGCTACAGAACAAACCATCCTTATACAATAACTTGCATAGTTAACCAAACGTGCCTAGTTAACCTAATTAACCTGGTTAAGCCTAGTATCTTAATACTAGTTTCTTGAAATATGACTAGTCAAATAATATTTACTGTCATCATGGCAAAGATAAAATAAATCCGGTTTTGAAATGAGTTATTAAAACTATTGGGTTTAGAAATGTGCAGAAAAAATACTCTTTCGCTAAACAGAATAAAGGAAAATTTATAAATGAATCATAATTTAACAGAAGGGTCAATAATTCTGACTTGATGTTGCAGAATATACCTATTTTTAATCTAAAGAACATTCATCTTTAATCAAAATAACTGCAAATGCTAGAGAAAAAAATATTGAGAAATGAGTTCATGATAATATAATATATACCTTCGGAGAAGCAGAGTAACTTACCCATCTCTGATGACAACACATGCTTTATGTCAAGTATGCTGTTAATCATGTTCCTAACTGTTTTTTTTTTGTAAGTTATGCATATACAGTATGTCAGTCTAATGTAAAACAACCGTTAGGGTAATTTGATTCAGTGTAAACATTTAGGCAGTCAGTATTTTTTCTACAGTGTACTGTGTAATCAGCACTTTTTTTCTTCTTTTCAGAGATCCATATTCGAGGTTACAGTTCAGTTATAAAGTGAGGGAAGGTGGAGAAAGGTTACAAGTGACTGAAGCGTCCGTCCTTATCCAGCAATGCTTGGGAAAATGCTGAAGATGTGAAAATGCACCACGGACAGAGATGACATCTATATCCTTCAGCTGTGTGTGTGTGTGTGTGTGTGTGTGTGTGTGTGTATGCCAGCGTGTGTCTAGAAGATCGATCGCCAATGTGTGGGAAAGTTTCCCTGCAGCATCACAGGTACAAACCCATTGTTTTGTATGGCGCACCTCTGGGGCAGGTCACATGTAACACGTGTATATATACGGTGCTCAGCATAACTGAGTACACCCTATTTTGAATTTATATTTTTATCCATTTTAGTGAATATAGGCAATGTATTTTGGTTCATTTAAACAAAACAGATTTATTAAACAGATATATTTATTAAAATAGTACTCTTGATCAAAAAACATATTTAGAAATGGAAAGATGATGCAATTAAATTCAAACAAAATATTCCACAAAAATATGACAACCGTCAAAATTTCCACATTTTTTTCCGTTTTTTTTTTTTGCTTCTCTCGATTTTTTCCTTTTTTAAAATTTGTATTTAATATTTTTCTATAACATAAATTTGGGCGAAATAGTTTTTGGACCAGTATCGTAAGTTATTTTGTTAGATTAGCTCCAGGTTTGGCTTCAGTACTTACTGTATATGCACAAATATAAGATTGTAAAGCATCCTATTAAAAATAGGAGTTTTAAAAGAAAGATTTGTGAGGGGTGTACTTATATATGCTGAGCACTATACATATGCAGCATACTTGTATAAAAACATGGTTTTGTATATCCAGTTTGTGATGACTGGCTAATCACAGAAATATTATTACGCTGCCGCTGTTTTTACTTTTAATTTAAAGGGACAGTTCATTCCAAAACATTTATACTTTGCCCCAATCCTTAAAGGCATAGTTCACCCCAAATAAGAAAGTCCTGTCATTATACTGTATATGTTGTAAACGGGTAACTATTGACACCTACAGTATAGTAGGAAAAACAAATTCTAAAGAAGTCAATGTTCACGAGTTTCCAACATTCTTCAAAATATCTTCTTTTGTGTTCAACGGAACAATAAACTCAGACTGGTTTGCTGAGTAAATGATGACAGAATTTTCATTTTTGGGCAGTCAGTTACTTTAAAACAACTGGGTTTTACTCTTTTGTCATGATTTAAAATCAATCAAATTTAGTTTGATCACTTATTCTTTTAAAGCATTTATTTAAATAAGAAAAAAATGGCTACAGAACAAGCCATCGTTATACAATGACTTGCCTAGTTAACCAAAGTAACCTAGTTAAGCCTTTAAATGTCACTTTAAGCTAAATGCTAGTGTTTTGAAAAATCTAGTGAAATATTATGTACTGTCATCAAGAGAAAGATAAAAGAAATCAGTTAATAGAAATGAATAATTCTGATTTCACCTGTATATATTGCAGAATGTACCTATTTTTAAACTACAGAATATTCATCATTTATCAAGACAATTGGGTATAGAAGGAAAAACAAATGCAATGGAAGTCAATGGTTACCAGTTTTCAACATTCTTCAAAATATCTTCTTATGTGTTGAACAGAACAATAAACTCAGACTGGTTTGCTGAGTAAATGATGACAGAATTGTCATTTTTGGCAAACTTTCCCTTTAAAACAACTAGGTTTTACCCTTCTGTCATGATTTAAAATCAGTAAATCTTTGTTTGATCACTTATTCTATTAAAGTATATATTTAAATAAGAAAAAATATAAGCAATATTTTTGATTGGCTACAGACCAAGCCATCGTTATACAATGACTTGCCTAGTTGACCAAGTTAATCTAGTTAAGCCTTAAAATGTCACTTTAAGCTGAATGCTAGTGTCTTGAAAAATCTAGTAAAATATTATGTAGTGTTATCAAGAGAAAGATAAAAAATCTGTTATTAGAAATGAATAATTCTGACTTTATCTGAATATATTGCAGAATATATCCATTTTTAAACTACAAAACATTCATCATTTATCAATACAATTAGGTATAGAAGGAATAACAAATACTATGAAAGTCAATGGTTACCAGTTTCCAACATTCTTCAAAATATCTTCCTATGTGTTCAACAGAACAATAAACTCAGACTGGTTTGCTGAGTAAATGATGACAGAATTGTCATTTTTGGCATATTGTCCCTTTAAAACAACTGGGTTTTACCCTTCTGTCATGATTTAAAATCAGTAAATCTTTGTTTGATCACTTATTCTATTAAAGTATATATTTAAATAAGAAAAAATAAATACAATTTTAAAACAACCTTAATATTGCAAAACCCAAAAGAAGATATTTTGCAGAATGCGTTTTGCTCAAATTTATTTTCTATTTCCTTACAGGTCCCTTACAGTGAGTAAATGATGACAGAATTATTATTTTTAAGCGAACTGTCCCTTTAAGATGAACATTTGCATGTTAGACTTGCTGTGCTTAACTAAAACAAATGACTTAATAAAGGCTGTATCCTTTAAAAAAAAGATTTCAACTGAAATTGTGTATATACATAAATAAGTTGAATGTATTTAAATTCACCAATATAAATATTAGAGTCCAACACATCCAATTCATATCCTTATCCATATCTTAAATTCAAAGTCAAACCAAAAGTTTAACTATTTTTATTCTTATCTTAACTCCTCAGTTATTAAAATATGATATACAACCAGACCTGACAGCACATGCTACATAAAACAACAAAGCTATACAGACAAAATAAACAACAGCAACAACATATGCAGTATTTCTAAACTTCTCCAGCAGCTCCATTCACATCCATCATATTTACCCAGCTCCTACTAGCCACCAGATCCTTTCAAAAGCTACTTCCAGTGGACAAACCAACACATTTAAGACCAACAAACACACAATCGCTCAAAGTAAAAAAAAAAAACCCACCAGGGGAGATCTGAGTGCCCGGACGGTCCTTCAGTGAGTGTGTATGATCCGGGATGATCGCCTCTCTATCCTCGCTCCTCGTCTCAGCCTGCATTACAATCAGATTTCTGCACACCCTTGTGTTCTGTTTAAGCTCTCTCTCTTTCAGTAATCTTATGCCTCCTGAGTAACTTGAGACCCATGGCTGCCATCAGGGAGATGCACGCACGCACTCACACACACACATACACACACTCACACACACACACACCTTACCTTTCGCATCTGGCTTGGCTTTAAACCCTAGAGCAGGTTCTCCTTTCTTTGTGCGTGTCTCTCACTTTCTGTGTGTCTGTTTTTGGGGTGTTGGGGTGTCAGGAGAACCCCACAGCGCTGAGGCTGGAGAAAGCTCTGCGGGACCAACAGCGCTGAGTACAGGACGGCAGGACCTGAGCTCCTGCAGAGTAAGCAAACAGAGCAACATCTCCACGCACACACATAAACACACACTCTCACACTTACTCTCGCTCGCAAATTACAGCGCATAGACATAAGCAGTTACACACACTGTAAAGCTATGTTGGGAGGAGAATACTGCGCTGTTATTACTATTATTAGTGCTGTGTAAAGTCATGCTATTCAGAGAGTTCTTGGAAGACCAACTTTAAGGCATGAAATTGCAATCATTTCTGTAAATTATTCTGTGATTGGGTAAATACTAGATAATAAACCAACATTTTAAAATGTAGCATTAAATAATTCAGAGTTCAGGCAAGAATAAAAATATGAAAGTTACATTGTACACCACCTGACAAAAGTCTTGTCACCTATCCAAGTTTTAGAAACAGCAAATAATAACTTGACTTCTAGTTGATCATTTGTATCAGAAGTGGCTTATATGACAGACAAAGGCCTCTAGATTACGCCTATTTTACCCAAATAAAATATGATCATGCCTTGATTTTTAATAATTTATTTAGGACAGTAAGATCTGACTTTGCTTAGACAAAAGTCTTGTCACTTACAGAAATAATGTACAGTATAGAATATATAAAGTCATGGTGCAGTGGAAAGAGGAGGAATATTGGGTATGACTCCCATAAGCTTGGACAACTGCATCCATACATCTCTGCAATGACTCAAATAACTTAATAAAGTCATCTGGAATGGCAAAGAGCATTCTTGCAGGACTCCCAAAGTTCATCAAGATTATTTCCATTCATCTTCAATGCCTCCTCCTTCATCTTATCCCAGACATGCTCAATAATGTTCATGTCTGGTGACTGGGCTGGCCAATTCTGGAGCACCTTCATCTTTTTTGGTTTCAGAAAACTTTGATGTGGAGGCTGAAGTATGAGGGGTGCTTTTCTGTTGAAGAATTTGCCCTCTCCTGTGGTTTGTAATGTAATGGGCAGCACAAATGTCTTGATACCTCTGGCTGCTGATGTTGCAATCAACTCTGCAGATCTCTCGCAAGCCCCACCTTGATTGTAACCCTAAACCATGATTTTTTCTTCACCAAACTTGAATGATTTTTGTGAGAATCATAGGTCCCTGCAGGTTCCAATAGGTATTCTGCAGTTAAACAGATGATTCATTGTAACAAAAATCTACCTTCTGCCACTTTTCCAAATGACGTTGTGAAAGTATTGATTATAGTAACTAATCTAAGGTCTTGTTTGCTAAAATGTTTAAGGTAAAGCCTTCCCTTTTAGAAGTTTGGATTAATTCATTTTTAATACATTTATTAATTTTTCTTCGGCTTAGTCTCTATTCTTGAGGTTACCACAGCAGAATGAACCGGCAACTATTGCAGAATATGTTTTATGCACCGGATTCCCTTTCAACTGCAACCTAGTATTTAGCTTACCCAATTCACCTATACCGCATGTCTTTGGACTGTCGGGGAAATCGGTGCACCCGGAGGAACCCCATGCCAACACGTGGGGAGAACATGCAAACTCCATGCAAAAAATGCCAACTTGCCCAGACTAGAACCAGCGACCTTCTTGCTGTAAGGTGACAGTGCTAACCACTGAGCCACTGTGCCACCCTGAGATACATTGTTTGTAAAAAACAATTTCAAAGAAAAAGAGAGAAAAAATGTTCTAGAACAAATTGCCAAAAACGATGTGAAATTTACTTGACAAATGTTACATTTAAATAACGTAGTTAAATGAATTAAAATTAATTGCATGTATTTAATGTACATCAGTGCAAAAAACTTGCAAAAAAAATATTAAGTACATTTTATGTTTAGTTTTTGTGTGTGTGCAGAACTTAACTTTAAACTTCCAACTTCAAAATATCAGTTTTACAGCAAAACCAATCAATGTCAACAATGAAGTTTATGATAAACATTGACTAATTTGTATCTTTGTTTATACATTACATGGTATTTGTTAAGATAACAAGTGGGAATATCACATCTGGCCTTAAAAATAACATGCACTGTAATGCAGTGGGCTTTGACTTTTCATTTTTATGGAGGCCGAAATTGCGTTGCAATTGATGAAAACAACAATTGAAAAATGTCCTGCAAATCCTCACAATGCAAACATATAAAAATGTGCTACTTTTCTCACATCGCAAATAGATTAATAAAACAAGCCGGATTTTCTCACAGCGCAAACAATTTACGAAAATGCACTCCATTTTCTCAAAACAGTTTACGAAAATGCACTTCATTTTTTCACAACGCTAACAATTTATGAAAACGCACTCCATTTTCTCACAACACAAAACATTTTCCGAAAACGCACTCCATTTTCACACAACGCAAAGTTTACGAAAACGCACTCCATTTTCTCAAAACGCAGTTTACAAAAACGCACTCAATTTTTTTTACAACGCTAACAATTTATGAAAACACACTCTGTTTTCTCACAACACAAAACAGTTTACGAAAAAGCACTTCATTTTTTCACAATGCAAACAAATTACGAAAACACACTCCCTTTTTTCACAATGCTAACAATTTACGAAAACCCACTCCGTTTTCTCACAACAAAAAACAGTTTACGAAAACGCGCTCCATTTTCTCAAAAAGCAGTTTATGAAAACGCACTCCATTTTTTTCACACCGCTAACAATTTACGAACACGCACTCCATTTTTTTCACAATGCAAACAATTTACGAACACGCACTCCATTTTTTTCACAATGCAAACAATTTACGAACACGCACTTCATTTTTTTCACAACTCAAACAATTTATGAAAATGCACTCCATTTTTTCACAACGCAAATAATTTACGAAAACGCACTCCAGTTTCTCACAACACAAACAATTTACGAAAACTCACTCCATTTTTTCACAACACTAACAATTTATGAAAACGCACTTCAGTTTCTCACAACACAAACAATTTACAGAAACACACTGCAGAAACACAAAGGCTCAGCGGCATCTGTCACGTTTTTGGGTCCCCTTGAAACATTTCTGTTGTGTTTCGTTTTTTTTTGCAAGTTTTGTTAGAAAATGCAGCGCATTTTATTAATTTGTTTGCATTGTGGGAACATGCAGCGCATTTTAATTTGTTTTTTAAATGTGTTTGTATTTTGAGAATTGCCAGCATGTGAAGATGTTTCTTGCATGGGTTTTCTCAAATTTTAGGACATTAAACTCTCTCAGTTAGTGTAATTTCCAGTGTAATGACAAAAATGGATGATTGTGTCTTGTTATATGTCACTACTATTTGAAAGTTGTAGATCTGAACTATGTTGGTTATTTCCACCAAAGCTGCATTTATTTGTTCAGAAATACTATTAAACAGTGCAATTGTGAAATATTAAGTCGTCTGTGTCACACAATCCTTTTTATAATCAATATTACTGTTGTGTTTAGTATTTTATTGTGAAAACAATGCTATTTTCTTTTGATGAATAAGCAATTCTAAATTTAACAACAATTTAATGCATGCTTGGCAAATTGAAGCAATAATTTTTGTCATAATGGAAAACCTTTAGATTAAAAATGCTGAATTAAAGTATAACGAGGTAATACAATTCATGTGACATATAGATTGATTGACTGCTTACTGTAGAATAAAACAAATTGTGAAAGGTACTATAAAATATAATGTGCTGTGGTCATCAATTCTGTTTTTACCATTGCATTTTGTTTTATTTTTTAGTGTTCAGGACAACACACACACACACACACACACACACACCCACACACACACACACACACACACACACGCACACACACACATACACACATAAAGATTTGTATAATGCACACATCACATATGTTCCAGCCTCTTTCCATTATGTTAGCTCGGGGGACCTGAATCGGCATCACTGTCAAAACTCATAAGCGCACACATTTACACACACTTTATTTCACATAGAAACACACACAAATCACATCACATACATCTCAGGCTCCTTCTTACCTCGTCAGCTCAGGGGACCTGACTCTGCACCCGGTATCGCTGTCAAATACACACACACACACACACACACACACACAAACATCTGCAGCAGTGCTCAGCAGCGATTCAGCTACACAGTGAGTGCAGTCCAGAACTTTAAACTGCTTATACAAGAGATCCAGGGTAATTCTGTTCAGGGTCCAGAGGCAGAAGTGAAAGGGCCATTCATCAAGTCTTCTTTTAGCCTCTTGCTGATGTCTGGCTACTGCAAATGAAACATACAAAAGGTAAGAATGTATCTAAGGGCTGCAGGACACTGGCTCGGACAATCTGTATGTCTCTATAAATGTTCAGCAGGGCCTGAGTAAGGGTTTTGAGTAGGTCGCAAAAGTGCTGAAACGCTCCACTGTGAAACTCAAACAGAAGGTGAGCAGAAGTTGAATGTCACCCAATTATTGATTGACGGAGGGCCGAGAGACATTGGTGGCCTAAGTGTTCACTGTATCAGTTGATTGGATATGTGCTAACCCATCATACTTGGAGTAATGTGAATTCATGTCACGCTTTAGTTTCAGGGGTGACACCTACACGGATCGTTCATGGACTGTCTGAAATGTGAAACATGCATGTTGGATGATGTTTCGCAGTTTACCATGTTTGGGTGCACAGGTATTTATTGCTTTTTTTAGGGTTTACAAAGGTGTGCAATGGGGAACTTTATACTAATTTCACACAGCCACCATTTAAAAAAACGAAAGTGAGGTTGTGGTGGGAAGAAACCCGGAAGTTAAAATCAGCACTGTAAACATTGCAACAACATGCTGTGGACTACAATTTCTTAGAC